ATCTATCTATCTATCTATCTATCTATCTATCTATCTATCTATCTATCTATCTATCTATCTATCTATCTATCTATCTACACTACTGTACAAAAGTTTTGGGGGCGGTCAAATTTTTGAAGATTTTTGAATGAAGTCTCTTATGCTCACCAAGGCTCCATTTATTTGCTAAAAAAAACAAAAACGAAAAAAGTAATATTGTGAAAATAATTTGAATTTAAAATAACTTGTTTTCCTATTTTAAATATATTTTAAAATGTAATTTATCTTAGACTAATTTTCAGCATCGTTACTCCAGTCTTCAGTGCCACATGATCCTTCAGAAATCAATGACGAGAGTGAGAACAAATGTTTATTATTTTTTAAAAAGGCTTCATATTATTCTGAGCTCCAAAAATTGCACTGATGCAGCTTGTTTTTCTTACCCAGCATTCTTAGACGTCCGATCTTGTCCATGAGCAGAGCTGACACAATATTCCCGGGCAGGACGGCAAGTGTGCCAAGGAAGCTAACAAAATAGATCATGTAGGCATTGTTCTCATCGCTGAAATCCAGCATACAGCCCTCTTTGTTATGCAGAAAGGTGCTGTTGATGAGTTTGCTGTTGATCAGCCGGTACTTGAACAAGTCTAAAAACAGATGAGGGCTCTTGTTAACCAATGCAGCAGCTATTCCTCCATTACACCAGTTAAAGTAGGTAAGCGTTTCTAGGTCAGACTGCTGTAAGAATCAATAGGGTGACCATACGTCCTCTTTTTTCTAGACATGTCCTTGCCGGGACTTCTAAATTGCCGGGTTTTGGCTTTGTTTTCCTATTGACATGCTCTCTGCAGTTCTTATACATTATATGTACACATATGTGCATTGCTTTGACCGTTCTCTGTAGATACCACCTTATTACATGCCACGATTGGTTGATTATGTACAATGCCTGCACACTATTGGTCAAACCACTGTTCAGTCATTACCTTCAGCAAGAATGAAAACAATAAGAAAACAAAGAAAAACCTGGACATTATAGACAACTTAGAAATCACAGCCAAGTCTGGTCTGGGAAAAAGAGGACATATGGTCACCCTAGAATCAATAGACAGATGACATCTTTATGCATGTGGTCTAATGCATTGAGCTACTTCATGACGCAGAGGACAGAAAGAAATTGCAACTGCATTTTTGACATTTACCTCTATACTAAAACCTTGTAAGCCGTCTACTGCCTTCCAACGGTCATTCACACAGTATATGGATATTATAGTCATTGCCATCTTGGATTAATTTATTCATTTAGCTCATTGCAGTGCATTCTGGGATTTGCCCTTACCTTTTGAAAAACTGATTTTTGCATGCCTATGATGCATGAACTTATAAAATACACCTTAAAGGAAAAGTCCACACAAGTCAATGGGACCTGAAACTGCTTGGTTACCAATATCTTCTTTTGTGTTTTACAGAAGAAAGAAATGCATACAGGTTTGGAATGACACGAGGATAAGTAAATTATGATCTAATGCAATGGAAGTTGCTTTGGATAAAAGCATCTGCAAATGCATTCATGTAAACATTACAATGCTGTCTAGGTAGGCAGCGTACTAGGTTTTGGAACAGAGCCTTTGTTTCTTAGTCTCATCATTCATTTGCAAGCTGCTCAGAAAAACAATCCTAAACACTCAGTATGACTGAATCAGGAAAAGCAGATTGTCATTCCTTCACAGACAGGCAGAGGAAGAATCTGAGCTGGTGTTGCTAGGATACCTGAAACATTTTCAATGCTTTCAATAGCACTAGAAACTAGAGCCATTTAAACCGAAGAAAAACATGTCATATACGAGTGTCTTCTTATAAAGGTTCAAAGCTTTGAACGACTACAGATGAAATCCAATTATTGTATACGGCTGAATGTGTAAATCGCACTCGACATTCAACAGCAGCACTATATTTGTTTATAGCTAGGAGGGTGTAACCTGTGGTCTTCTCACCTGTGTTGTAGAAGAGGGTGGAGATGAAGGTGCAGTTTTTGAAGAAGGTGTTGCTTGACGTGATATCCTCAAAGTAGCATTCCTCAAACAGGGAGTCTTCAAATACCATAGACTTCATCTTCAGATTCAAGAACCTTTAATGACAAAGAGAAACAAATTCCCAAAGAAATTGCTTAGAAGTATTCAGATTTCCTTTAGCTTCTACAAAGTGGCCCAAATAAAAATAGACAATGTAAATCTAATTCTATAAAGGATAGGTGAACACACATTTTGTTTGTCCTGTGGTAAACATGAAACATTATACATAAAACAGATCAAAAATAAATAATATTAAAGGTGGGGTAAGTGATTTCTGGTAGCCAATGTTGACATTTGAAATCACCAAAACAAACACGCCCCTACCCCAAAAGGGTCTCGCCCCTATTTTGTTAAGCTCCGGCCCACACATACGTACGCAACCCAGGCAACGATTAGTTCTGTGAAACAAAGCAAAACCAATGTTACACCGTGTCTACACCGGACGCGAGTGGCGCGGCACGACAAAATACTATGGAACTCATTATAATCAGTGATGCTGTCTTCACAATAAATATATATACATATCTATGGTCTACACTGGATGCGGCGCGGCACGACTCGACAAATCCCTGACAGAAAACTGCTGCTGCATTCTATTTATGACGTATTGGCCCAAATTTCAAATGATTTTCAACGGTTGCTTTGTCGCGTCCAGTGTACTAGACAGACTTTAGCTGTTGCGGCGCAGACGCGGTGTTACTCACCTATCGAGAAGAAACAAAGCAACCTCGGCGTCCGATCGCAGGCCTTCCGCTCCTTGAGTTCTCTCCAGCACTGGAAAGCTGATCCGGTATTTACACGGGTCCTACTTCTTGCCTTATTGCCTTAAGCCTTCTCCGCAGACGTTTTCTTCTTTTGTTTTTTATCCACCATCTCTATCTGTCATGTGCACTGAACTCTCTTTCCGCCACATCATAAGTAGACACACCCCTTACTGCTGATTGGCTTCAAGTTTGTTTTGCTACTTGGCCCGAATCAGTTTTCTAAAGCGTTTTTGAAAAATCGCTTACCCCACCTTTAAGCACCAAAACAATTAAACAAACTACAACAGAGAAATAAAGTAATATACAGTACAAAGCCAATAATAAACTTAGCATCATCTCAACTCATCTGCCATCACATGATTTTTAGCAACACACTCTGGGATTGTCTTTCTAGAAACGATACACTGTGTGATCAGTGTTGTTATTGCAACTAAATTTAAAACTAATAAAAATAATTTTTGTTTACTGAAATAAAGCTGAAATATTAGATGAAGAACCTAAACTTAAAGTTTAAGTTTGAAGTACTAAAATGACTAAAACTAAAATCAAAATAAAGTTACAGTATACAGAAATATTTTAAACAAAAATGCAAAAAGTACACAAAATTTATAGAACTTAAATTAAAATGAAAACTCAATATATTATAGATGCTAATAGCAATCAATTTCCATTGTCCTAGTTGAATTCTGCCATAAACATAAGAAAAACAGAGGCATGCTCAAAAGACAAGGTCATGTCATGTCATTCTATCATACTTAAATTGCATTTAATCTGGAATATGCCTTTAAAAAGCAAGCAAAATGCCACAACACAATTCACCTTTTATACAAAGGTCAGGCCTATTTACTGAAATATGTTTGCCATACTGCCTATGAGCGGCGCTTACTTGTTGTTGAAGTACTCTCCATTCCGGTGGATCTGGTTCTCCAGGGTGAAGTTAAAGGTCACATGCTCCACTTTCTCTTTGATGAAGACCTTTGTGCGTGAGGAGTACTCTTGTTTCTGCAGGTATTTGATCATGTCAGGGAACCAAACAGTCAGCCCGTAGTAGCTGGAGACAGAGAGCAACAAAACATGAAACAATGCAGAGGGACAAATCATTGGATGGATTGGAAAATGCATGTAGTTCAGTGTAGTTTACCTGAAGGACATGGAAAACCACACAGCCATCATCATGTAGGTGATCCTCCGGTACTCTGGATTAAACACTGTCAGGAAGTTGCTCCACACCTGGAAACCCAAGATAAACAATTGGAAGACAGGAGTTTGAGTACTGTACACACTTCATTGTTTACAATTTATGGAACCTGAGCTGCAAATATGTGTCAATCAGAATCACCATGGTTACAGTGTCACTAAGACATAAGCATGTTACCATATGACCAGCTGCATTTACATATCAATGCCTATTTAGTATAACTAATCGGTGAGGGCATTATTATTTATTTCAAGCAAAAATGTTAGCTAATTATAACAACAGTCATTTAAAGTAAATATTATACATATACAAAAATACTATTTTATAAAAATGTTTTTGAAAGAAGTCGCTCAAGCTCACCGAGGGTGCATTTATTTGATCAAAAATACAGTATTCCTGTCACTTGATCCTTCAGAAATCATTCTAATATGCTGATTTGGTTCTCAAGATATATTTCTTTTTAATTAAATGTTGAAAACAGTTGTGCTGCTTAGTGTTATTTTATTATTTATGTACTATGATAGTTTTTATTAATGTTTTGAATTAGCTTTTATTTTTATTTTCAGTTTTTACTTTTAATTTGAATTAGTATTTTTTAGTAATTTTGTTATGTGCTTTACTTTTGTCTTTGTTCTTTTTAAATATTATTATTTAGATTTAATAAATTTTTTATTTCAGCTTTAGTTCCGTTTTAACTAGGGTTGCAAAAAAGGTGGAAAATTTCTAGTAAATTTTGGAAATATTCCAGAAATTTTTGAAAATTTTCAGGATTTTTGAGAATATTCCAGGGATTTTTGGAAAGTTTACGGAAATGTTCCTCCCCTTTGCAACCCTAGTTTTAACTTTTATTTACTGTATTTCCAGTTAGTAATTTTAGAGTTTCAAAGAAAACTTATTTTAGTTAGTGGCAACATTTCTAATTTCTGTTTAGATTTCATGAATTTTATTTATATTCGCTTTATTTATTTTCATTATTTATTTATATATTTTCATTATTTATTTATTTATTTATTATTTTGTTTTTTTAGTTAACACATTTGGTTTTAATAGTTTTAAACCTGGTGCTGCTAAATATTTTTGTGGAAACCATGACACATTTTTTATATTTTGAATAGAATTTTCAAAAGAACAGCATTTAAATTTAAATCTTTTGTAACATTATACATGTCTTTTCTGTCACTTATGATCAATTATTGCATGTTTGCTGAATAAAAGTTTTAATAAAAAAATAAATACAAATCTTACTGCCACAAACTTTTGAATGGTAAGTGTACAATCAAATGATGACTTTTTGGTGCAAGAAACCTTGACTGATATAAAATAAAATGTGTAAAAGTATAAAATGTCCTCTGTAGATCATTTGAAACTAAAAGTTCATATGCTAGTGTTTATGGTACTCTACCTGATGGAAGAGGTTGGTCAGCTTGATCCTCCAGCGCTGATGCCAGGCTGTGGCGTCTCCACCCATGTCAACCAACTCATCCATCTGTTTCACCGTCTTAATAGTGGTGACCTGGGGATTTCACAGCATGCTTCAAAACGTGCCTTAATACTTTAGTGATATTCTCAGTTGTGTGTGGTTAACTGGTGGGAATCTGCTCATGAATAGCCTTTATTAACTACTTGACAATGAGAGGTGAGCCGTGTCTAATTAAGCGTCAAGATTAAGATTTACAATGCTAATCGCTGCAGGGCCCATTACAGTTATAAAATGTCCTTTACGGTACCAAAATAATTGACATCTAAATAATAACTTAATTCACCTTCATTAAATGTGCATGAAAGCCAATTTGACTCCAGTTCGGCCAGATAAATGGGAACCCATTAGCATGGCTGCATAATTCATTTTTAATTCATACTGAGAAATTAAAATTCCGCAGATTTCCACAGATCACTTCCGTCCTAATGTTATTGTTCTTTCTGATAGTGAATCAAGCACTACTCACAGAGAAAACCCTCTCCGGGTAGCCCTTGGCCCTCATGTTGGTGTCATGGACCTGTTTCAGAATCATCCATGCTTCATCATGTTTTCCGTTCTGTTAAAACACACACATTGCAATTTGCAGCAAAGTCATCTTTGATTTACAAACTTATTCTGCACATTTTTCCTACAGCATGAACCAAAAACACAGATCCAAGCCGGGATGTGGGACGTCACTAACCTCCAGGAAGAAGCGTGGGCTCTCTGGCATGGTGGTCAGCGCAGCGATAGCGGCGACGGCCGGGAACGCACACACCAGCACAAACACTCGCCAGCTGTGAAACTGGTAGGCTGAGCCCATTTGGAAACTCCAGCCTGGTTAAAAGGAAAGGGCATATATTACTAAACTAGTTACAGGAACTAAATGCATTTAATGCCCTTTCATGCATTTTCACTTTTTTTTTTTTTTTTTTACACTTCACTTCAGTTTTTGCCAGGGCTCCAGGGCTCCAGACAAAAAAAATCAGTTAAGGAGCCATTGGCTCCTATAAGAAACAAAATTAGCAGCCAAATAATTTTTTAAGTGCCATAGAATAAATGGGTTTTATTTATTTTAATTTTTTTTAACAATTTAACATTTCAGTCATCTTTTCTTGTCTTTATCAGCATTTTAATTCATATTGTAGATGAGAACTAAGGTTCACTTAAAGTGGGAACTAAACGTCTTTTCCAAACTGAGAACTATATACAGTCACAAAGAATTGTTTATTACACAGAATCTGTGCCAATATCAGGTCCATAACTATGTCAGCATCACTTGGTCATTGAGTGTAGTTTGGGCTCCTCCTCAATGCATCCTATAAATGTTGTCATATGTCTTGCACACATCCAGTCTGTTCATTAGTAACATGCAATTTTATATAAGGTGTTGAATTTTATCTTTAGCTCCTTGCATTCTTTGTCATCATGTAGACAACAGGCTAAGTAAAAATATGAATATGCAATATATCGCATAAATGCTCCTATTTAGTTAATTTTTCTAGCTGACTGATGAGCTCATGGACGCCGAATGGTTATTCTGAGGTAAATGATTGTTACGTGGCATTGTTTACAAGCTTTACTCGTTTTCCGCAGTTTGAAACACTGAATGAGCGATTACATGAGACATTTCAGTAAGATGTACTGTAGGTTATCTTATAACACACCTTTTGATGTCCATTCATGTTTATTTCGTACTATAGTAATAAAGAGAAAGATATGATGGATTCACGTGCCGCTTGAACTGAGGCGAATCGCTCATGCGTTTAATTAAAGAGCGCTAAAATGGTATTTATTGTTTGAATTTCATTACGAATTTGGCAGAATTTTAAAGCTGATACTTTGTTTAATTAAAAGGTAACAGAGCACAAAGCTTATTGCGATTATTGGATGGCAAAGCGCGCAACAAATAATATGAAGTTCACAGCATTAACAAAACACAGCATGTAGACTAGAGATCTTGATAACAAGAAGCCATATTAGTATCGATTATAAACTAGAATTGTTACCGATATTGTTAATGTCCACACAGCTGACAGTTTTAGCTGTTGTAGTTTGTTCAAGTTGTGCACGAAATAGACTGCTTTTCTGCACTTTTACTTCGCAATCGCATGTCTCGCCGTCATTTTCGCTCTCTCTGATGCCGCCACAACTGGAGCTCGCTTTTAGTAAGCCATCGACGCTGGAGTTCGGCAGAGATTAGGACTGTTTTTGCTCTAAAACTTTGATGCGCATCGTCTCAGTTTATTACGTCAACATAAACAAAATATGTGATCGCAAAACAATCAGGAAAAAAGGAATTACATGCACATTTTTAAATCATAACATGTAAATTTAAACAGATGCCAATGGTAAAAATATCACTCGCAAACTAATATTTTTGGTCGCAAATGTGACCGTTTTAGGCGCAGTCTGGAGCCCTGAGTATCTTGAATTTAGGGGGCATTTTTATTGATTTTGGTGGCATTTTTGCCCCAAGCCCCTATTAATTTCTGACCCTGCACTGAATGCACATTTACAAAGTCATAAAATATCCAAAATAATTCAAGATATCAAATTGTTTCCATTTTTGACTGTAAACGTTTTAAAAAGCTAATGCTAAAAAAAACACTTAATTTACAACTACACTGTACAAAAAAATTCCGTAAAATTTACGGTAAAAAACCGGCAGCTGTGGTTGCCGGAATTTTACCGTAAAAAATACGGTAGCAACGTTTTAGGTTTTACGGTTTTAACTTAAATTTACAGTTAAATACCGTATTTTCATTAACTGATATAATGTTAATATACCAACCTATTGAAGTACTGAAATCTGATTTGTACCTTTGTAATACACTGATAACCACCAAATGCAGGCAGTCACACGATGAACCAAAGCCCATCACAAGCAACTTTTAGATAATAACATATATAGAAGGTGCACAGTGTCATTCACACAAACACTAAACACCATCATGGTAACACACATGAAACTGAAATAATACAATAAACATTCATTTAACAACATTAGGTGTAACACACAACCCTAATATACAAAACTGATAAGAAAAAACTAAGAAAAAACATAGTTATTTCAACAAAAAAACATCACATTTGAAATGTAATGCAGGGAATTCTGGGAATGTCAGTTTACGGTTATTCACTGTAAATTATACGGTCTTTTTCACTTCCAAAAACGGTATACTACCGTAAAATTAATGTCCAATACATGTAATGTCCAATACAGTTTTTCATCGTATATAGTAGGGGAATTTTTACCGTTAACCATTTAACAGGTTTTTACTGTAGCACTTTTACAGTCTTTTACCGTTAAGTTCACGGTCATTTTTTACAGTGTAATAAATTGTGTAGACTACAGTCTTTCTAATTACGACACTCAAGTGACTGCCATTTCTGATATTCATGGCAACTAGGCTTTTAAAATCATGTCATACTTTTGAAGATAAGCTGATGAGATTTATAACCACTTCATATTGTCCCTAAATCCTTAATTGGTGGAATTACTTTCTGTGACATCTCCATCTTAAGTTACCGGTTCAGTCCCCTGTGGAGTTACCTGAGGTTAAATGCCCTGCTCAAGGGCACGGGGGTGATAGTTCAATTAATGTATCTAAAACCTTCCAGCTAAAAGCCGAGATCAATTAACCATTAAGCTACAGCACTCAACCTAAGCAATGTGAGCGGGGTGGTTACCATAGTGGGGAATGATGGCCCAGGCCATGGCAGCAGCGTAGATGCCTCCAATCATCCAGAACATGCAGAGCCAGCTCAAGTGCTCACCACGCTTCTCTTGAGCCAGAAACTCAGAGTAATACGAGAACACAATGGGAATAGAGCCACCGATCCTACAGCATGAAACAGAGAGGGACTCCAGTATTAGGATATTGTGCATCATTTTTAAAAATGTAAAATATCTGATTTAATATTACATTTTGTGTGCCATTAGAATTTTCAGAGCTAGTAAAAATTTCAGGAAGTAGAATTAAAATGGAATGAAATTAAAAATAAGGTAACTGCTGTTTTTATTACGGTTTTATTTTTTACATTATATATTACCAGTAAACATGGTCATACACATAGTATACATGGGGTATTTCCAGAATCATTAGGTGATATGTATATTATTAATTGGTGTTCAAAAGCCACCTACAGAAATGTGCATTTAATTGATTAAATATAATATTTTAATAAATTATATACATTCAGAAAATGTGTTCTTCCACCATATTTCAAAAAAGTTTATAATATACTCTGAAAAAAATTTGGTGTAGAATTTAATTAGAATTTGCTAGTTATGGAAAAACATGACAAAGAAACGGCAAGTAAAACATTGAATTAAACATGAAATTTTGAAGTAGAAAGACTGATAACGTTTTTTCTTGCAAAACATACTCCATTATTTTATTTATTTATTTACAACTTCGAAATCATAGTTGTTATTGGTAACAAAATCGAAAACTATTTAAAAATCGTTTTTTGTTAACTGAAATAAAGTTGAAATAAAATAAAAAAGAAATAATAGATGAAAATATTTAAAAGAAAAACAGAAATGTTGTGACTTGACAGCTAATGGAAGTTCTTTTTTTTTTTAAATAATAATAATAATAATAAATGTGGGTAGACTGTAGGTAGTGTGAAAAGTGCATTTACCCCACGCCGGAGAGCAGACGACAGAACAGAAAAGAGCTATATCCTTGGACAAAGGAGGAGAAGAAAGCAAAGACACTGTTGATGGAGAGAGAGATAAGAAGGGTCTGTCTGCGGCCGATTCTGTCAGCCAGACCTCCCCACACAAAGGCACCCACCATCATACCCAGATACACAATTAGACCTGCGAGAGAAAGACACAGAGAGACAGGCCGATCAATAACCGTACCAGCGTCCTGTCCCAATCAGGATGACTCACTGTGATACTCCATACAGACAGTAAATCAAAGTGACCGATATGTTGGGTAAAATGACATTTCTGGAACTGGAGCCAAAATACGATTAAAATGCCAAAGTTGTGCTTCTTTTATAGAATGGAACAATTTCATTGTTTTGTGCCTGAGAGCTCAAATTCATTTGTCTTTTGTTCGTGTGCGAGGATTTCTTTGGTTTTGGTGAATTCACACTGACGACTCTTTCACAGCTCCAGCTGGTCATGTGACTGCGGGTGTGAACACAGACAGACGTCACCCGGCAGCACCACAGCAGACCGCTGGCATGGATGTGATGGATGTGATGCCTGTCACGACAATCAGAAAGCAGTGAATCATCCATGGATGCAATATGAATGACCCAAGGAAAATGATATTCCTCAGATATTGCTCTTTCACATCTGATTAACATAATTTCACACCTTGGGTCTTGTTGGTGAAGCTAGTTAAGCGCACCAGTATCCAAAACACAATGGCTCTGTTCCAAAACCTAATGAGCTGTCTTACTGTCTGCAGCCTATATAGGCAACATCCTAACTGAAATGGAAACCTCTATATTGTCAATAACATAAATATTCTGCTCCTTGTGTGATTTGCATGGGAGTCTCAAATCACTCCATAATATTTTCAGAAAAATATTTAAAATATATTTGAAAATATACAAAAAGAATGAACAGAAATATATCACTAATATAGATGTTATGTATGTATTATATATTATGTCTATATTAGTCATACATTTAGAATTTATTCAGAAATATATAATTTATATTAGTGATATATTTTGTATCCATTTTGTCCTATAAATAGTCCAAATATATATTTTTAAAAATAATAATTTTGCATTCACCCAAAAGACAGAAAATATATTTTCTTGCATTTGTGGCATTTGAAGGAATAGACAAAATATATTTTACATTTAAAAAGTATATTTTCTCGTGTACATATATTCTACATGTATTTTGGCAAGAAATATCATGGCACTGAAAGTAAATTGCATCATTAAATTATATATATATATATATATTTAGTGAGAGAGAGAGAGAGAGAGAGAGAGAGAGAGAGAGATACAGTGCCTTGCGAATGTATTTATACCCCTTCATTTTTTTCACATTTTGTTTTGTTGCTGCCTTATGTTAAACTGCTTTAAATTTGTTTTTTCCACAACAATCTACACTCCATACACCATAATTGTGAATGTATTTATACCCCTTCATTTTTTTCACATTTTGTCTTGTTGCTGCCTTATGTTAAACTGCTTTAAATTTGTTTTTTCCACAACAATCTACACTCCATACACCATAATTGTCAAGCAAAAAAAAATGGTTTTTAACATCTTTGCAAATTTATTAAAAATAAAAAAATAAAATGATTCCATTGCATAAGTACTCATACCCTTATCTGGGACAGTTGAAATTGCTGATGGTCACTCTAGTTGAGCACCATGATCATATGTGGAGATAGGAGAAACCTACAGAAGGACAAATATCGCTGCGACACTCCACCAATCCAGTCTTTATGGCGGTGTGGCCAAACTCAATCCTCTCTTCAGTTAAGACACACTTGAAATGTACAAAAAAGCACCTAAAGGACCCTCAGACTCTGAGAAACAAGATTCTCTGGTCTGATGAACCTCAATTCTAAGCAACCAGCTCTGCTCATCACCTGTAGAGTACCATCCCAAAAGTAAAGTGTGCTGGTAGCAGCCTCATGCTGTGGGGCTGTTTTTCAGCAGCAGGGACTGAGGGACTCGTTAGAGTAGAAGAAACGCTCAGTGCAGCAAAATATAGAGATAGCCTTAATGAAAACCTAGTCCAGAGCATTCAGAACCTCAGACTGGGCAGAAAATTCACCTTCCAACAGGACAATGACCCTAAGCACACAGCCAGAGTGGCTTATAGACAACTCTGTGAATGTCCTTGAGTGGCCCAGCCACAGCCTGAGCTTGAACCCACTCAAATATTTCTGGAGAAACCTGAAAATGTGCATCTGCCCCATCCAACCTGACAGAGCTTGAGAGGTGAAGAGGTGAGGTGAAGAATGGCAAATAATTGCCAAATGCTGATGAGAAAAGCTTGGTGCATCAAACAAAAAAAAAGACTTGAGGCTGTTAAGGTGCTTTAGCTAAATATTTAGTTAATAATGTACTTATTTCATTTTTTTTATTTTTAATACATTTACGAAGTTGTGACAATTCTGTTTTTGCTTTGCCATTATGGTGTATGGAGTGTAGATTAATGTGGAAAAAAGTAATTTAAAGAAATTTATCATAAGGCAGCAACATAAAATGTAAAATAAAACGGACTTGATGCTGTTAAGGTGCTTTAGCTAAATATTTAGTTAATAATGTACTTATTTCATTTTTTTTATTTTTAATACATTTACGAATTTGTGACAATTCTGTTTTTGCAGACATAACGTAACAAAATGTAAAAAAAGGAAGGGGATATGAATAATTCGCAAGGCACTGTAGACAGACAGACAGATCGACAGACAGACAGACAGATCGACAGACAGACAGACAGATCGACAGACAGACAGACAGACCGACAGATAGATAGATAGATAGATAGATAGATAGATAGATAGATAGATAGATAGATAGATAGATAGATAGATAGATAGATAGATAGATAAAATATATTCCATTCACCCAAAATGTTTGAAACATTTTTTTGATCTTTAAAACATATTTCCTTATATATTTTGGCATTAGAATGAATAGATGAATTATTTATTTTAAATGTAAAAAAAAATTATTGCATTTCTTTTTTTACATGTATTTTGGCAAGAAATATGGCATTAACATAAATCACCTCTTTAAATGTTATGATTATATAATTATTATATATATATA